TTTGAGGGAAAGTATTCGAAAGAAATTAATATACATTTTTTAAAATAAAAAATCATCGTTTTCTATCTATTGGAATAATTTAAAGACTTTTTCATTTAATGTTTTTTATTACCGACATAGTACTGATTCGGTGTATTAGTCAGTACACTGCCAGTACTGAAAGTCAATACCGACAGCCAGTATTGGATCAGTACCATGCCGGTGTTTAATTACGGCGAGCTACGGATATTTCTACTTGGGGTATATAGTATTTATGAGAGTAAAAAATCCCTAAAATCAGAATTTATAAAGAGGCTTTAGATTTTTATTTATTAAGTGCTTCAGTTATTTTCAAATCACTATGATTTCTTTCAAAAACTGATGTTTACATGTATATTTTAAATATACTATTTTTAATTAGAGCCAGAATTTTTCAAATCAAATTAAAATTTGAAATCAAACATAAGATTTAAAAAATTCATTTCCAATAAAAAATTATTTTTTCACTTCACGTGTATAATAAAAATAAGTTTTTAAAATAATTAGGGCAAACATTTTTTTTTTTTTTATTAAAGTTAGGTATGAAGAATTAAAATTTTCGATTTTAATTGCATATGCATTTATTCTCCCTGTTCAATTGTGGAACGTTTGACAAAGAATGACCCATAGGTTGTGTGTCTGACTCATTACGTCTTTATCTACTTCAGCTGCTAGCATATATTCTATATAAGCAAAGCACGCCCACGCCACGTTTGTAGATCGAGACCCATATTATATTTACTAGTAATTTGTTAAATAATTGTTTATAATTGCAATAAACAGTAACAATGTCTAAAGAAATAAATATTGTTTAATTTAACAAATTAGTGTTTCGAATCAATTAAAAACGAAATTTTTTGTAAAAAATAGTTATCTGATGACAAACGGATGGACCAGCTGGACACACTAAAAATTTAAAATAAATATTTAAACAGTTTCCCAGGCAACAATTTCTGACAAAATAAATATAAATTAATTATTGGAAACATTGTTTAAATATTAATTTTTAAGGACCAATTTAGAAGAAAATGAATTAAAAAAAAAAAAAAAAACAATTAATAATAAGTATACACATTTGTCGACACGGGTAATATCTTCGATAACTCAGATTTTTGTGAACCTCCTATTCTTGCATATGACTATCATTATATTCGCCGAATCATAAATTGGGCGAGTGCGATAAACCTAAAATAAGTTTCAACCACATACATTCTTTATTCATGAGAGCCGCGCCAGTCAGTAATAAAATGTTTGTCGGGGCCTTCTACTAATTATTATCAAGGGGTAGGATCGTATCTGCTACAGAATTTGGCTCTAACAAAACTGCGGTGAGTAATCGCTCAAAATAAGCAGTAACTACTTAATCCAATGCGAGAGGGGAGTGTCGGTAAAGCGTAACGCACCCAGTATATGGAACTATCGATATAATAATTTTTATTTATGTTTATGAAATATCACATATATGTATATGAATGAGTGCGTGTATACTAAAAAAAAAAATTCATTTCATTAAACTTGTTATTACTTTTATTTATGATAAAGAATCTGTCCGCACCAGAAAAAGGACAGCTATAGCGATATATGTTTTTTGGTCAAGAAGTTTTTTTAATTATAAAATTTCTCAATCGAATTTTAAAAATTTAACATTCAAAAATGTCGTTTTGCTAGGTGAAAAAGAACTTGGCTCAATTATGTCAAGATTCGTAAATTTTTGTCATAGTTATAAAAATTTGAAAATAAGTAACATACTTAAAAAGTATGAAAAATTCAACCACCTCTAAATTCTACAAATTTTTTTTTATGAATGAGCTAAGATTTTAGGTACTTCTTAAAATTTTACCAAAAAATTCAAGCCAATTCAAAAATTAAAAATTTTTCAATATGAAAATCGAATATACCGATAGAGTAGTGGAAACGGAAATAATTTATTTGAGGTATACACATGTAAAAGAAAAAAAAACGTATCATCAACTATTTAAAATGACAATGGGGACCTTCGCGCCAAATTGGTCCGGAGTCAATGAATCTGTTGGCCTTTTCCCATGGTCCGCGCACGAGCGGCTTCTCTAATTTTTTATGAAATGAGTCACACTTCCATTGTCTCAACAAATCCAAGAGACGTATTTTCCTTTTTTTTTTTAAGTGACAGCTATTATTTTATATCGCAATGCAACAAATCTTCCAATTATTTCTATGATTATGTTTTCTCACAGAAAACCATTCAATAATAACAGTAGGTAAAAATAATTAATTTTTTTAAAATTTTTTTAGAAAATGAAAATTTTGAAAATAGTAACAATACTCTTTTTTCTAATATTTAATTTTAAATAAACAATTTTCATTTTAATTTCACAACTGAAATCCAATTGTAGATACTTACTTTCAATTTCCATTAACAAAATACCATATTATATATATACAAGAACTTGGAAAATGACATTTTTTCAATATTTATATGTTTATGAATATGATGTCTCAGAACAAATCCCTCATGAGTGAAAATAAAGTGGCTAAAAAAACGTGCCTTTTTCAATATTTTAAGCACATTTTGAGATATCATGACGAGTGGATGGTCAATATTTAACTTCATGCATAAACATATAGCATGACAATTTAAGAACGAAAAGAATTGCTTGGAAATCAGACAAACTACTCTTTCTGCGAGTACCATTTTTTAAAGAATAAGAACTTTTCTCAAATTACAATTTAAAAAATTAATTTTCTTTAATATCATCAGAAAAAAGGTTACATGCATATCTATTTCGTCTATTGAAGCATTTTTTGATATGGAGGTAGCACAAATCTCACTATGGATGTCACAACCATTTTTAATTGTTGCTGCAACCATTGACCTGTGTACTATATTAATATAGTTAACGTATCTATTTTATATGGTTATACTTAATATTTATTTTATTTTCTTAATTATATTATTAATAAGGTTATTTTTAATTCATTTAAAACATTGCGTATCATATTAACATATTTATTTTTTCCAATAAAACGTAAATGTTTAATTTGTGATAAACCCATTAAATAATATATTGAAATATAATATTATAATATTATTTATATATAAATAATTATTATATAATTATTAATTATATATAAATATATATAAGTATAATTTGTTCAATGGAATGTTTATTACAATAAAATATAATAATTCGCGCGAACAACTTAAAATAATATCGCGATATACTTTTAATAATATTATAATTATAATTTATGGCGTAAAGTTGCAAACATGGAACCATTTCCCCATTTGCAAATTATGACTGGGAAAGGAGAATGCAAATCATTTACAAGAACACAATCAAATTCGTCAGTTTCGTAGACATCGTAGACATAATTCTAGAACACTTGCCACACATCATAAAAAAGCTCTTCTAGAGAAGTAGAAAAAAAAATTGGAATTAATACATACACAGAAAAAACTTGGACTCATTTTTGTTGCAACTCATTTTCTTTTGGGTATCGAAATGAGTATGGGACAAACTTCATGTTATTCAAAATGATATTGGCTGGAATTTCAGATTTCTAAGTTGGCATCATAAGCAGAGTAATTTTGTATTTCAATTATTGTTTCTAATATTTCAACAACACCAGAAAGATTATTTTGACCAGTACGAATATTTAGAAGTTTTTAAATAAAAATTATTTATTATTATTTACGTAGATAATAATTAATTTCATAAGTTTTTAAATTTACCGCTATTATTTAAGTTGGCAGTACCGTTCCTGTTGTCAAAACACATGTTTTCATTTTTCTAACCTAAAAACATATTTCCTTTATTATTTTATTACGCGATTACAAGCAATTTTTAATCAAATATATTAAGTCTAGCGTGTTATTTACTTCTTTGTAATTATTATATTTCATGTTTTTGTGCAAAATTATTCGTTATTTCACAATATTTTTCCATTTTTCTTTTTCTCAAAATGAAACTTGCCTGTTTCATTTTGATACTTTTACCTTAGAACTCGAAATGAGACAACCAGTTTCATTTTTGTTGCGAATCAAATTGAGTATAGAATCTATACTCAATTTGAATTCAGTATAGAATCTATACTCAATTTGAATTCAGGTTTTTTCTGTGTATAATAATCGTTATTTTTGAAAATTAAAAAAAGGTAAAATTATCATGTGAAAAACATGTGAAAACATTATTATATTTAACTTAAAAAAAGCAATTAAAAATCCAACAAAGATTTGAGCACGTGGAAACATAACCTATAATTTACTGATATTATTGCTTACCTTGAAAATGCGGTATGTATTTCTCGAATCCATCTTTTTTAAAAAATTGAAAGCACTCAGCTTCCATGTTGTTTATATCCAACCCGAACCATTTAGAGCCAATTTTAAATAATTTAATTTATGCCAAAATTGCTTTTTTTCTTTCAAATACGCTTTTAGGACGCGAAATAGAATGACACAATATGTGACCAGCTGATCGAGTCTGATTACCGCGCAAACGCGTACATCTATTTAGATCAACGAGCGTAACCATTTAAAAATGGATAGGAGATCCAAACTAGTAAAATCCATAGCGGTATTGAAAACACAACCAAACATATGGTTGGTAGATCCATATCAAATTTACAAATATTATATGGTTCCCACAACCATTTTTTTGTAAATTCTTCCATACTTGAAGTTGCGCCAGCCATATGAATGGATACCCCAACAATATTATGAATAACAATATTTTTATGGTTATGATATCCATTAATTTTTTTTTCCGTGTGTATCCGCTGATTTGCAGTGAAAACTTTATTCGTTGATTCAAACAGTGAAATTTTAGCTATAATTCAAATTTAGAGAGTAAAGAAAGAAGTACCAAAATATTGAAAATTAGAATTTGCAGTTATGTTGTTAACTGATAAAAAACATAAAATTACAATAATACAGACATTCTTTTTTTTTGTTTATAAAAGGTTTTTAAACTGTACCCACATTATTTACCAAATAAAAAACATTTTTTTTAAATAAACATAATTTATTATAATTTATTACTTATTAAATTGATAATTTGGTTTCGTTTCTTTCATTATCCAATCGTAAAAATGTGAAATACTGATAAAGACATTTGGAAAATTGTTAAAACAACGATCTTCAATTATTAAAAGTCCAACCAATCTTCCGTCGACTACCGCTGGACTGCCAGAGTCGCCATAGCATGTTCGTATCGTTCTATAAGCGGCTATAAAAATATGATCTCTGAAATCGACCACAGCAGTATTGACAGGAATAACATCTTCTTTCAAAACACCATATGATGACTCGTTCTGAAAAAATATATTTTTCAAAAATTCTTCATTTGTCATATATATATATTAAATTATATTATTCAATTTTTAAAAGGGATTCAAAAAATCTAAAAATAATCCTAAGTTAAAACTTGATTTGTATAATAATATGTAAACTAAAACTTACAAAACTTCCATAGTTATAAACAGTCAAATTCTTCATTGGGTTATAATGCATGTGAAGAGAAAGCTCATTTTGAGAAATTAGAACAATGCGCGTCTGCCACTGATTAAAATCAATCGGTCTTTGTACCTGAAATTTAAAGTGAAGAATTTGTTAATAATAATAATATTTTTTAAGCCCGCATACTATTCTGCACACCCTTTGGATAAATATTTTTTCTTAATTTCAACAAAAATGTTACTTTACTTGTAGAGTTTATATACCTTAACAAGTCCAATGTCATAATACACCTCCTCTGGTCTATAGTTTGGATGTGGAACGACACGAGTAACAAAGTTAGCATAACGTTCGTCAATAGAAGAAAAATTATGCACACCAGTAAAAACTTTCAATCGTTTTCCTTCTCTAAAAATGTTTAAATATTTTTAATAACAAAGTGAAAAACACATATAGAATATTTTTTCTCTAAATCTGAATTGCGAGTATACATATTTAGACAAGTCAAATAACAATTTTCGTTAAATATAACAAATAAAAATTTGGTATGTTAAAAAAAATTCAAAATAATCTTACTTTTATTCTATTATTTTTATCAACTTACTGAATTGCGAGAGTCTTTGCAGTCGTTAAAATCCAATAATTATTAATGATTACTCCAGTCATAAATGGATATTCTTCAAATGAATGATCGGCAAATATTAAAGCCTGGAATCAAATTTTTCCTTAACTTAAATTATTATCAAATGAATTATTCGATAAAATAAAAATAAATGCAATTTAGGTAATAATTCGATTAAATTGAAATTCTAAAAAATTGTAAAAAAAATTACTAATGTAGATTTTTTTACATAGACAAATAATGTAAATTATTCTTCATTAGAATTTACTGTAATTTAAATTAATAATATATAAATTAAAAATTTCATACCATAAAGGGAGCATCAATTAAAGGCCTGTCATATTCTTTATTTCTGTGATGAATGTCATAATTGTTAACATTAAAATTATTATAATTATTTCTGTTATCATTCCAAGGTCTTGGGTAATAATTTTGCGGACTTTGAGTATATCCTGGATAGTAAAAATCTAAAACGATGTTAAAAATACAATTATCTATTTAAAGTTTTTTAAAATTAATTAATTATTATTAAATTAAACTTTAAGGAAGAAATTGAATTAACAAAAAAAAAATAATAAATTTTTTTATAAAAAATAAAAAGAAACTTTTAGAAGTCGGTATAAAGTAAGAAATTCGACTTTTAATTTTTAAAGTACAAAAATATAATAAAAACATGAAGAATACATACTTTGGGCGCGAACATTGAAAACAGCAGAAGAAAAAAAAACGAAGACACAGTGAAACTTCATGATGAGTGTAAATCAAGAACTGAGACATTGTTGTGAATATTTTCATCTACTTATATGAAGAAGGGAACCGGAAGTTGTAGCCTCTATCAAGAATATTAACGGATATAAAATTCTGTTTTAATTTTCTCTCCTCTCATTCTTTTATCGCATTAGAATGTGTTGACAAGGACGCAAAGATATATTCTTATCTTCAATTTCATAATAAAAACATTAGGATATTTTTTTATTGACGTGAAGCGTGAAATCAGTTACCGTCAAAAATAAGGAAAAAATGACAAGTCATTTTACGATTCACTCCTAAGAAGGAATGATTATATTATTATTGCTGACTCTTCGTTTCAATGTGTGAAAAGTCAGCGACCGCGAATAAAAAAAATTTCCAAACAAATTATACTATACCCAAATTATATACTTCAAATTTACACTAATTTCTACTTTGCATTTAATATATTATGTATATTTTAAAAATTATCTACTTAAATTCTATAAGAAAATTTTTCATAGAAAACATTAATTATTTTTGCTATGCAAACAAATTATTCTATTTGACAAAATTTTAAATTACTTGCACTTCATTTAATTTATATTTCATTAAAAATTTCCATTTAGTCGAATTTTAGTTTTTTTGCTTTTTATTAAACCACATTCGAATTTAACCAAATCAAGTAAAAATTTGGATAATTAAAAAATTTTTCATCAAATACAAATTCGGATTGTTTAAATAAAAAGTAGGTCGCAAAAAATTTCAGTTTAATCATGAAAATTCAATCACTTGCGGAAATTATAGTTTATACTTTAGTGAAATATAGAAAGTAGTTTAAATTAAAATTTGATTTATTTAAAATTTTGCCTTAAAATTAAAATTATTATTATAGAATCTAGTTGTTTAAAAAAATTCTATTAATTGCAAATAGGAATTTTAGGGAATTTATATGCCCACCTCCCTTGAAAATGTGAAGGAGAGAAAACAATTTTTTTTTAAATAATTAAATCTATAAACTAAACAGACATTTTTTCTATATACAACTGAAAATGTTTACTTAAATATTTTTACGCCGTTAAAACATTTTATCAAAGTGGTAGAATATTAGATTGTTGAACAGTGTGCAATCAACTTTTATTGGAGATACCTGCGCTTAAATATGTAAGTTTTCTATCAAAGTACATTCTCATAAGTTAACTTTTATGAAAATTTATTATTTTTGACTTTTAATATTTTTGCTTCCTCATATCCTATAATTGTATTATTAAAGATATTTATAAATTAAATTATTCTCCAATTACTTTAATGATATTTATATATATAAATTGTAAATAATAAAAAGAAATAGAAAAAATGTAAATTATTATCTATAGGATGTAAGCTATTACCCCCAAGGTCCTGACCTCATATAGAAATACTCTCTAAATCTATGAGAACGAATAATTTCCTAAATTTCGTGTTTATTTCACACTGAATTGATATCTGTTGTTCCTGTTATGCGACTGTTGACAGCAATAAGTATAAAGTCTTTTTCATTGTTCAATATTTAATTGTTTTTTATTTACTGTGACGACAAAAATATTATAAATCCATAAAAAAGTAATCTCCATTTTTAAGCTGATTCTTTTCATTTTTTATATGCAACGTTTTCTTTAAAATATAGTTTCAAAAAAAGTACTCTCAAATTGAGAAAACTAACTTTTACTAATATAGAATACTATAAAAATACGAAAGAATACATTTTTTATAATGTTGTTAATGTTATTAATAATAGGTAATTAACTTGCATAATAATATAGCATATATATTCTAGTTGTTGACGTCACAAGTGATAACTCCTTATTGCATATACTATAAAATGTCCTAAGTTTATTTATTTCAATGTTTTTTTCTAATGAAAGACACATTTTTGTGTGTCTAACAAAATTTTATTTCATTAAAAAAAATAATACATTTTACTTTTTTTTCAGTGTATATAAAATTAAAAAAAATTAGAAGGGTAAGTCCACGTCAGAAATATCAGAATCTGCAAGTGGTTCTTCGATTTTAATGATACTTGGTAAAATTATAGCTTTATATAAGAGCAATGTGTGAGTAAAAGGAATTTTTAAAATATCTAAAATTGTAGGAGTTATATCACTTTTAATTTTGATACTGCATTTTTTTCTTTCCTTTCTCGATCAATTTTCAACCGATTTTGATGAATCAAAAACGATTTTTTTCAGAATATTACGTATTTTCAGAAAATTTTAAAATAAAAATAAAATTTTGTTATTTAAATAGAAAAAAGTAAAAAACAAAATTTCTTTTAGATTTTTTTTTCAATTTCGACCTCTTTTTTTTAATTTTTAATTTTTTAATAATATTCCTTTTTATTTTATCTTTAATTTTAAAAAAAATTCATCCTGGAGACTTTTTTAGATCTCGTGATATCGTCCTTTAAGTATTATAAGTCTTCATCAATTTGAAAACCGCAGGACTTGCTTCTATCATTACTTTCATTTGTTTGTTGAAATTTTTTATGATTATGAATAACTATTTGTTTTAGAATCCTCTAAAAGAAAGCGCTAAAAACTTCAGCTACAATTTCAGGTTGCATTGTTAAGGTTTCATTACAATTTTTTTTAAATTATAAATATTACAAAAAATAAAAACTTTGCTTCAAATCTATTAATAAAATATTGATTTGCTTGTTTTTTCACTTGTTTTAGTCAAGTAATTTAAAAATAAAAACATTATTACGCGAATGTTTCTAGTTTGTAACAATAATATTATAAAACAAATGAAAGTAGAAACACAAATCTGGATCCTAGTTTTCTTGAGATGTGGATATTTAAAGAACGATATCACGAGATCTAAAAAAGTCTCCAGGATGATTTTTTTTTTAAATTAAAGATAAAATAAAAAGGAATATTATTAAAAAATTAAAAATTAAAAAAAAGAGGTCGAAATTGAAAAAAAATCTAAAAGAAATTTTGTTTTTTACTTTTTTCTATTTAAATAACAAAATTTTATTTTTATTTTAAAATTTTCTGAAAATACGTAATTTTCTGGAAAAAATCGTTTTTGATTCATCAAAATCGGTTGAAAATTGACCGAGATATAAAGGAAAGAAAAAAATGCAGTATCAAAATTAAAAGTGATATAACTCCTACAATTTTAGATATTTTAAAAATTCCTTTTACTCACACATTGCTCTTATATAAAGCTATAATTTTACCAAGTATCATTAAAATCGAAGAACCACTTGCAGATTCTGATATTTCTGACGTGGACTTACCCAGAAGAAATAATTTTTTTTATTTAAACACTACGATACATTTTATTTGTTTTTTTTTTTTTTGTAAATAAAATGTTTCTATGCTGTTTAGATAAAGTACAGAAACAACAAATTTTTGTTTAGTATTTTTTAAGGAAATATATAAGTAAAGTGTAATTTTAAAATTATTACAATCAATAAATTAGTTTAAACAACGTATTATTTCTATTCTATACAGGGTGTCCCATTTTAATCTATCAGGCGAAATAACTTTTAATCAGTTGATTTTACAAAAAAAATGTTTCAGAAAAAAGTTGTTGTGCTCAGAGGGGGACATCCAGTGACAAACTTGAATTTGACCTAAATGACCTAAATTAGGACATTTCAAGGTCAAGTCTTTTTTTTAAAATGGAACCACCTACTTTTTATGCCGGAAATCGATCGAGCAGGAAATTCCACGTCGAAATCGTTGATGCACTTTTTTTCGATAGGTCGACCTATTTAGGACAAATAGGTCATTTAATTTTTATTGTATCAGATGGAATAACTTTAAACTAATTAATTTCACAAAAACATGTTTCAGTCAAAAGTGGTTGTGGTTAAAGGAGAATATTCAGTGATGACCTTGAATTTGTCCTAAATGACCTTAATTAGGTCATTTCAATATCAACTCAATTTTTTTTAATGGAACCATCTACTTTTCCTGTTATAAATTGGAAGAGCAGGAAATTCCACGTTAAAATCATCAAAGTACTTTTTTCGACAGGTCAACCTATTCAAGTTAAATAGGTCATAATCAATTTGACCTACAAGGCCTTGGTTAGGTCTAGTCTAGGTCAAATAATTTTTCATGAAGAAAGATCAACTTTTTATGCAAGGAATCGTCAGGGCAAGAATTTTTATGTAAAAAACACTAATGTCATGTTTTTAGGTCATTTAGGTCAAATTCAAGTTTGTCACTGGATGTCCCCCTCTGAGCACAACAACTTTTGTCTGAAACATTTTTTTGTAAAATCAACTGATTAAAAGTTATTTCGCCTGATAGATTAAAATGAGACACCCTGTATAATATCTAATAAAAAAATTAGTCTAGCTGAAAAACCAAAGCACTACTATGTCAAAAAATTCGTATAAGTACCAGGTATTTGTTTATTTAGTTTCTTTAAACAATATCATTATTATCCCAACAAATTTCCATTAAAATTATAGAAAATTTTCATCAAAACAGCACTCAATAAAACTTTTTTTTCGCAATAAAATTCACCATATTCTTAAAACTTGACAAGATTTAAAAATTCAAAATTGGGGACAATCGACTTTTAAAAATCTTTACCTAATAAATTACCATAAAAATTTTTTAAATTTATGTCGCGTACCACTTTTCGTGCAACTAATTAGAATATAAGTGTGCGTTTTTTCTCCGATAACGCTATTTAAATAAAAGTCAATGACTTTTTTCAATGAACTAAACAATTACTATTTCATTCAGTAAACTTTGTATAGCTATGTTTTTCAATGTTATATAGTGGAGAAAGGCACAAGTTTTAAATTTAGAAGAAATTGAATGTATATAGGTATATAATTTATCTAAATCAGCAGAACTACACCTCTGAAGTGTTTTTTTCCATTCGAATTTAAGAGATGAATGCGACAAGTTGTCTCTTGAGAATAATTCCCACAATTTTTCTTACATTGTTCGAACGAAGAAAAATACACTACAAAGGGCAATATATAGTAACTAATTCGATTTATTTTGTTTAGACTTCAATTTAAGAATGGAGGAAAATATATAAAGTGTGTAAAAATCAAGTATATTTCTTCAGTCGTTACTCGATCGTCACAAAAGAAAGAGGTCATGGATTTTAAATTAGTGAAAAATTTTATTTTTTTCATCATGTGTACAAATGTTTCATTGACAAAAAGAATTCAAACTTTTCAATCACAAGAGTTGGGTGAGTTAAAGTGCGTCTACTCAAAAAATTTATACATGGAAAATATAAACCACAATATTTTGATAAAGTATATAGTCAATGTTACGGGTTTTATTAAGTGTTTTGTTCTTAAAAATTAAAAACTGAATTTCTCTAAACATGATTTTTAATTCTGATCAAATCTCAGACACTAATAAAAATGAGTTCTTTCTGCTTCAGAAAAAATACTCTTCGTTTGAGAGGATTCCTCTCATTTCATATGCAAATTATTCAATAAACAATATCGTGTCTATCCTGAATTAGTATTTTTCTTAATCAAAGTGGATACTCTATTGAATTAAAAGGAAACAACAAAGTTTCCACTATGAAACAAAATTTGTATTCTACTCACATATCCCAAAGTAAGAATTCTAAAATTTAATAAAAATTAATATTTTTTATTCTGTAAACTTTTTTCACACTCTGAGAGGAAAGTTTCAAATGAGACGAAAGTATAGTATCCATTGAAAAAAATACACTCATTCCAAGCATTTTCCTCTCAAACGAGTATTTTTTCAAATTAATAAATTATGTAGGGGAGAGTGACAAACAGTGGGACACACTTTTTTTTCAATGACATATTAATATGTCACTTTTATATATTTTTGAACACTTTTTGGTATTACCATAAAGTTTCAACACTTTTCTACACAATGCACATATTCTATTAAGATTATATTGTGATTAAATAAAAAATTTCAAGTTTTTGAAACTTGGTATACATTTTTCTTGTTTTGAAAGTTTGTGTTTAACAGTGCACTGAAAAAAAAGTCTGGTTAAAATAACCAGAATTCTGGTTAATCTAACCAGAATAAAAAGTTATATATACCCTTACTACTTTTTCTGGTTAAAAGTACTAGAAAATTTGGTTAAAAAATTCTGGTTAATTTTACCAGAATTTCAAGTTAATCTTACTAGAATTTCAAGTTAATCTTACTAGAATTTTTCTAGTTAAAAATTTTTGGTAAAAAAATTTCTGGTTTATCTTACCAGAAATTCTAGTTAATCAGAGAATTAATTAAATTTATTATTATTATATTATATTATAAAATATTATAAAATATGAATTAAAAAAATTTGTATTATGTACATATAAATGCAATCAAACAATAACACCTTTACACTGCAATTCTCTTAATAATGTTTATTTAAATATGATTATTCAGAATTAAAATTCTGATAAAACGTGTCGAGCACGTTTTCAACATAACCTTCAAACTATTTTCTACACGAGTTTGCCGTTCGTCAACAATTTTTTCACTTATATTATAAAATTAATTATATAACCAACCTTTAAACAGATCTTTTAATTCTCCCAAACCCCAATTTTCCAGAGCTTGGTTAACTTTTTCATCCATTCTTGCGATCCGCACGATAAACTATTCGAAAAAGAACAACAGACGCTATGCAGTGTCCGCGAACGCGCGTTTTTAACCAGAATTATTTTAACCAGAATAATTTAACCATACTTATTTAACTAGAACTGTTTAGTCTTTTTAACTATATTTTCTTGTTAAAATAACTAGAAATTTTTTAACCAAACGCATCTAGTAACTTTAACCAGAACTTTTTTTTCAGTGTGGGACATCTATTATTAAGTACCGAATAATTATTTCAATAATAATATTGCACTTGTTAAAAATCGATTTTCATTACCGAATTTATTTGGAACTTGTTACTTGGAAGTTTTCAACGTTTCTATTGACGTTTCGAAAGTTGGATTTAAAAAATTCAAAATGGCGGATTAAAAATGGCGTTCAAAAATTTCAAAAATGGAGTTAATTTTTTCGCAGTTTTTTCCTCGGGGTTTTTTGAAATATTTGAACGCCATTTTTAATTCGCCATTTTGAATTTTTTAAATCCAACTTTCGAAACGTCAGTAGAAACGTTAAAAACTTCCAAGTAACAAGTTCCAAATAAATTCGGTTATGAAAATCGAATTTTAACAAGTGCTCTCTATCCCAGCTATTTTGACTATTTGAGATATTCATTTCTTGTTATATAAATTTTCTGCGCAATTATCATTCACTTTTCAGTTTTGGGACTCAAAGTTGAAGGTTTAAGCTTTCATTCAAGCCCTCGTGAAGGTTTTTATCTTGTTGCGTTTTCATTTTACAACGCTTCAAAAAGTGCTAAAAAGGCGATTTTTTGACATACTTTAATCTCGTTTTCTACGGAACTGACAGAATGAAAAATTTTTTTTTGGGTATATTCTTGTTCAGTGATTAATCTTTCAATAAACACAAAAAATTTTAAAGAAACACGACTTGACCATTTTTTTGTAACCCAGTGTTATTTAATAATATTTTACATTTTTATAATACGATGTCAAATTTTATATAAAAAATTGCTATTAGTTTTATTCACGTTTACAGTACTGCTGATCAGACGTCATAATTTGGTCATAACCTAAAAACAATTTGGAGGAAAATTTGAATATAGTCGTTCTCTTATCAAGTGTTACATTTTAAATTACGAACAATAATTGTAATAATTATTCATTAAAAATTTTGAATTTTTTATTGTTTTTTAGCATTAAAAAATCACATTTTTAGTCGCTGTGTAAGTATAAATACGCATGCGTATAGCTGACACAACTTATAATCAATGTTGCCAAAATCCACATTTCATAAACTTAAATTTTTGCCTGTCCCACTGTTTACATTAAGCAATCGCAAGAAATTATTTAAATAAAAATTGTTTGTGAAATTTTAAAATATTTTAAATTATTGGATATTATACTTAAAAACATGAGTAAACGAAGTAACAATTACACTTTTGTTTAAAACTGTCCTATCTATGAGGCAAAATTCCTGAAATGTCCGAACAAAAAATTAAAAGTTCTCGAATTTAATCCATACTTTTCTAAAATGTTGTTATTGTTGGTGAAAGTCTAAAAATCAATTATTATTGAATTTAATAAAATAGTTTTTGAATTACAACGTTTTTAATTTTTGACTTTTGAAAAAAAAAATTTTTTTCAATGTACAATATTTATAAGTAGAATGCATAAAAGTTAACATATATATAATGATTTTTAAAGCATTTTTGACGAGATAGACGCTGTTAATAAAATTTTTTTTTTAAATAACATTTGACCTTGACATTCAAGGTCAAAATGTTAATTTACATTTATCTCAAAATCGAATTTTTTAAAATTATTTTTAACTATCTCAATGGAAAGCTTGACTAATTTCCTACAAAACATGTAATTTTCAGAGTGGGATCTTTTAATGTTTTTGAGATATTAATTAATTAATTAATTAATGTTTATAACAAATGAAATATTTTACAAACGAATAAAGTTACCGTAATTCTGAAGTTAGTAATTAAAAGTTAACGTAATTCCGCATCCAACGAGCCCTATATGAAGTATTTTGGATAAGTAGATTGTTAATAAACAATTAGTTAACATTGCAATTGTTTATTAACAATCTACTTATTCAAAATACTTCATATAGGGCTCGTTGGATGCGGAATTACGTTAATTTCAATTACTAACTTCAGAATTACGGTAACTTTATTCGTTTGTAAAATATTTCATTTGTTATAAACATTAATTAATTAATTAATTAATATCTCAAAAACTTTAAAAGATCCCACTCTGAAAATTACATGTTTTGTAGGAAATTAGTCAAGCTTTCCATTGAGATAGTTAAAAATAATTTTAAAAAATCCGATTTTGAGATAAACGTAAATTAACATTTTGACCTTGAATTTCAAGGTCAAATGTTATTTAAAAAAAAAAATTTTATTAACAGCGTGTATCTCGTCAAAAATGCTTTAAAAATCATTATATATATGTTAACTTTTATGCATTCTACTTATAAATATTGTACATTGAAAAAAATTTTTTTTCAAAAGTCAAAAATTAAAAACGGTGTAATTCAAAAACTATTTTATTAAATTTAATAATAATTGATTTTTAGACTTTCACCAACAATAACAACATTTTAGAAAAGTATGGATTAAATTCGAGAACTTTTAATTATTTGTTCGGACATTTCAGGAATTTTGCCTCCTATATAAAAATCATCATTATATTTCAAGAAAAAATTTACTCTGGTACGTCAAAAACTGTTTTTGTTTCAATTTTCTTTGAAAATAATGAATCAATGTGGCTAAAATTTTTGGAGATAGTGTGTTTTCATAAACATGGTTTACATTTAAATTTTGGTTGAGTTTCTTTAAGTAGGTTTTCAGGAAATTAAAGTGTCCTACTGTTTGTCATTCTCCCCTATATGTTAAAATTTTTTGAAAAATTTAATTCTAAACTTTTATGTGATAAATAAAAGTTTGACAGTAAAAAACAAAAAAACCCAAGTAGAAATGTGCCACTGGCATAGTACTGACCCAACACTGCCAGTCAGTATAATAGTACTGACTGCCGTACTGGGCCAGTAGTGGACCAACCCTGGCTGGTAACGCTGTCCAGTACTGATTTTGTCCCGCTCACCAGTACTAACGTAGTACTAGAATAATACTGGCATAATACTGGCAAAGTACTCATCCGGACTTAAAATCTCACTTTTTTACAAAATGCTAAAACACGCTTTCCAATGCAAATTTCATCCTTATTAGCTTATTACTCCCATTTTTACCACCAACAGGTAATGTGAAGCCAATAATAGTTAATGTTATTTAGAATATATAAAATATTATTAACAATAAATAATTAAAATAATAATTATCATTGATATTAATTAAATTATTTTATTTTTAATAAATTATTTTACAAAAAATAATTTGTGTTGTAAATTTTTTTATTTTTTTAAATTCATAATATTTAATTTTTTTTACTTTGCACTTATACTTAATTTAATAATTATTTAATAATTGATATTACACATGAACAAATATTGTACTTATAACACTTAAAACTAAGAACGAAAAATCTCGCACGCATGGGGGATCGAACCCTAAACCCTTAGAACGCAAGTCAGATACGCATACCGCACAGCCGCGCTGGCTTGAAGTGCTGACTTGAAGTAGTTCACCTAATACAAAAGTTTTGATTTCAAAGTTTGTATTATCTATTGATCACGAAAATAAAATGAATTTATTCTTAAATTTTTTAAACTCACAAAATTTTTTCAATTTTTACAAAGATTTAATGAAATAAAACTGGGTATCAATTTCAGTGAAATATTTTTAATAAATTATTTTTACCGTAAATAATATTAAAACAGACAAAAATGATTGATGAATTACATAATTAAAAATAAGTTAATAAAAGACGACTGTAAAATATGAATGGTAAAAAATTTTTTAAATTTAATATTTAATTATTAATAATATTTAAAAATTACAGTGAAAAAATTACATTTGCTTTATTTTTAAAACTATTAGAAAAAAATTCTCAACTTATTGTTATTGTATGCATGATAAATAACTTAATGCACATATTTCAATGAGTACTAAAATAACTAAAAAAAACATAAATATATTTTATATATAGGTATATAATAATACATTACAATTACATCCAAAATTTTGAGGGAAAGTATTCGAAAGAAATTAATATACATTTTTTTAAATAAAAAATCATCGTTTTCTACCTATTGAAATAATTTAAAGACTTTTTCATTTAATGTTTTTTATCACCGACATAGTACTGATTCGGTGTGAATGACAGTGTACTGCCAGTACTGGTTTTAATATTTTTTTACCTCCGACATAGTACTGATTCGGTGTATTAGTCAGTACACTGCCAGTACTGAAAGTCAATACCGACAGCCAGTATTGGATCAGTACCATGCCGGTGTTTAATTACGGCGAGCTACGGATATTTCTACTTGGGAAGTTTGAATTTTTAGATCGACAACTGAAAGCATTACAAAGGGTTATTGACTTTATGGCTGACAGACCCGAGGAAATGAATATAGATGCTATTTTTGGTTTAACTTTAGGCGAAGGTACGCTTTTCTCTTTTCTAGCGAACAGTATAGAAATATTTTTATATCAGATGATATTATGATTACATCTTTTTTCATAACTGTCAACAAAACTTTTTGATACTTAATAATCAATATATGTCAGATGTTTTATAATTTAATTGTTCTTGAATTTTTAAAGAAAATAAAATGATGAAAAAAAGAAAATTTCTTTTATAAATATCCGTTTAGCTCACTTGATAAGTGCATCATCTCATTCTAACGTGCGTTTATTAACTTGGGAACAAAAAAATAATTTAAAGAAACTTTTAAAAAAGTGCAAAAAAATAAGAAATCAAATGAAGAAAATCCTTTCTATTAAAAGCGAAATAGACTCCATTGGTAAGTATATATTATTGCTGTAAAAAAATTATATAATTCCTATTAAAATTTTTGAAAAACAAATTCGTTATCAAGTAAAAATTCTAGCCAAAAAGAATTTGGAGACAATTTATTTATTTTTAACATCATTATATTGTTGCCGTAAATATTTAATTCTATTTATATAAATATAAACGTTTGATTTATCAGGATACAGTAATCTGACTGACCCAATATATTGGACAGGTCCAATCGATTGGAAAAGTGATTTTTTAAAATCAACTGTCCCACGAAAATTAATTGCGAATCACGAGACAATTATGAATCTATTATGGAATGGAAGACCTAATGAAGATGAAAGTGACAGCTGTATTGTAGATACATTCAAGGAAGTTGAACAAAACATATGTCAAATAACGGATGATTGTGAAATGATGCTTTCGGAAGATGATAATCCCCAAGGTTTTGCCACAACACATAGACTTCTTCTCATTATGGTGTCAAAAGCCGTGAGTTGAACTGAGAAATAATTTTTTTTTAATTGAATTATACATACGTTCATTTGCTTATTTATTCAGTTTGACTGTGAGGAATTAAAAAAAATTTCGTCAGACAAACTCATTCCAAAATTTTGTTCTTCAATTTTACAAAATCTAATTGACATCGAGAGAGTTGGATTTCCGGCCCCCCTTCCGGATTTAGTTATGGAAGAAGGTACATTTATGAATTTTCATTTTTCATTTACATTCAATCCTCCACAATGACGGATCCTTCAAAATCTCCTCCGCAGTGATGGATATGGCGTGTAACATGATTTAAGCAAATTTCAGTGCCGTATTCTTTGGGAGTTAAGAAATGAAAAATAATCAAAGATGATTATGTGTAACCTGGACAGTGAAAAAATTAATTTTTTATTGGTTTGTGATTCTGATAGAAAGAAATTTTCTCTATTAGAATCAGCAATCAATAAAAAATCGATTTTTTCGCATGTAAGCCCCCTTTTCATTGCCCAGGTCACATATATTATTTAATTCTTATTCTTAAATATATTTTTAATAATTTTATTGATAACTGATTATTTCAACTAATATAAAAATTTTGATAAATAAATAATAGTTAAATTGAATTATTTCATTCATATTCTTATAATATTTAATAATTTAAATAATATTTTTTATTTACTACACTGCAAAAAGAAGTATCTTAATATAAGATGTTTTGGTAGTCATTTTTAAGATGTTTTGGTAGTAAACTTTTTAGTTGTTTGAAATATCTTAGTTTAAAATGTGAATAATATCTTTGCCAAAGTGCTTCACATATTTTTGTTAAAAAAAATTTTGAGGTTAACTATGGCCTCTTATGTAAGATGCTTAATGTATTTTATATTTTAGTAACTTCAAATTCTGACGTATCTTAGAATTTACAAGCATCTTTTTTCTAAACATCTTATGACCCCACAAATATCTTATTTCAAGTTACTTATAGAAACTTACCGAAGTAACTTACATTTTAAGATGGAAGAAATATTTTAATTCTTGTTAAAATGCAAAAAGCATCTTAAATATTAATAAGATACTTTACAAAATATCTTTTTTTAAGATGGAAGATACCATTTTTCCATATTACATCTTATTGTAAGATACCAAATAAGTCACTTATTTTTGCAGTGTAACAATTAATATTATTATTAAGTGAACAATAAAACGGAAAATTTTATAAATTTTTATCAATATTTTAATTTTAATAATAATAAATTATTTAATTAATTATTATAATAATTAATATAATTATTATCTTAATTACATTAACCCTTTAAGGACGAAATGTACAAAAATTTTTCCTAAAGTTTGGCAATTTTTTAAACCAACTAAACGCATTAAGAAAAAATTCGCAATATACGTTTCTTATGGTCCAGGAACTGCTCTTTCAAGTGGTGCATCTAAAAAAAACCGTAAATTTAAAATTAAACAAATTATAGATAATTATTTATAAAAAAACATGAATTTTCAAGGTTTTTTTTTTTACTTAAGAATTTTTTTGGGCAATGTACCATTTTAAAATATCTTCCCGAGGTACAAATATCGCGTCAAAAATGTTCAACCTTTGACATGGTGGCATAGATTTAAAAAAAAAACTAAATGTCTAAATAATATTGTTAATTAAAGTTGAGATTTTAATAACAAATACGCAGCTATTGTCAAATAATTTTAAAACTCGATTTTTAAAAATTCAAAATGGCGGATCCAATATGGCGGACGAAAAATTAAAAATTCATCGGATTCCCTCGTAAAGAGAACCCCCGAGTAACGATTTTCGAGTGAATCTGATGAATTTTTAATTTTTTCGTCCGCCATATTGGATCCGCCATTTTGAATTTTTAAAAATCGACTTCAGATTCGTAATCAGCCAAACTTTAGGCAAAATTTTTGTACATTTGGTCCTTAAAGGGTTAATATGAATATTATTTAAAATTTACACCGGACAAATAATTAATTTAATAATTAGTATGTTTTATTAAAGAACGTTTATTAAATTTTACTATATACGAAAAGTCACCCAGTGTGTGCCAAACAAAATATTTACAGGGACAGCCCTGGAAAAGTAGTGGGGGTATGACGTAGGCTCCCGTCAAAGTAAAGGATGAGAGAAGGGGAAATTTTAGGCAGATCCCTCATTGTGGAGGATTAACTGTATTTTAATATGAACTTTTTTTTATGTTCCTAGTCCTTTTATGTGGAGCACAAGGTTATTTGGAATTTATTAATGATCATTGGCTAAATATAATCTTAAACTGGCAGGAACCAAGTGGCTGTTTTAGTGCGTCTCCAAAGTAAGTATGTATAAATAAATGTAAAGAAACTAAAAACTGAAAATTGGTTTTAAGGAACCATATAATTTATTTTTAATCTCTGTATAATTAAATTATTAATCGCAATTGTTTTTAAAATTTGTTTTATTGATGAGATTTCGTTTGATAATAATATTATTTTAGGACACACAAATCACGAACACGAAGATCGTCGAATGTTATTGATTTTGGATGTGAAAATCATACAACTGGACTTGGTGTTGGTACTATTGCTTTATTCATTAGACATTATATAGAAAACGCCAACATTAATGAAGAAAACTATTATTTTGAATAAATTTTTATAATTTTTGTGTTTTATTCCTTCACATTGATATAGTTTCGCACTGGTGACGACAAACTTCACATTGATTTAATACCTTTAAAACCCATATGTCAATATAGCCTAAAAAATACGAAATTTTTAATTTACTTTATCTTCGAAAATAGCTTCGGGACCAATGCGAAATTTTCAGTGAATGTATATGTAGTGTGTATTTAAATAATTTTCGAAACCCCATATTTTTTCATTTTTCTCCAAGAAAGTTATTGACTTTCAAAAATAGTGAAAATAGACAAAGTAGCTATTTTATTTTTTAAATTTTTCATACTTATGAATAGAAAAGAAGAAAAGTGCAAAGAAATTCTAAAAGTTTATGGCAAGAACTTCATATTTGGTAAGTTTTTATTTAATTTAATGTTTTCTATTTTTTATAATTAATGAATAAAAATCGCAAAATTAGGTTATTTGACAGGTGCACTTGGAAATCATATTTTATATATTACTTCACATCTTTAAATAATTATATCAATTGATAATGATAAATTTATTCATTCTTAGTAAATTCCAATAATTTTTTTTTATTTTTATGGTAAATTCTATGTTTTTTTGCATATTTTCTAATGGCTAAAAAATTGACAGTTTTTAGCACCTCATATACTTTAAATTCATATTTTACAATAAATATTTAAATTTTTAATAAAATTCTTTTCATTTCGTGATCTTGATAACTTCAAAATCATTCCTGCAAAGTATTATAATTTTTAAAAATTAGTCAGCGACCACTTTAGTTGAAATATAATGGTTTGACCCAATAATAAAATTGTGTACATTATTTATTAATGCTGTACAATTTAATCTCAATGGACATTAATTTCTTCGACTGTACATATAAATTTTACATTCTATAACATTATTTATCTTTGCTGTACTTTCCTTGTATAGCAACTTACATTAGTGTTCTTAAAGTATACAATGATTTGCAATTAAATTAAATAAAACAGTAATTAATTTTTAATTTATTTTGTTTATTAATAGGCAGATTATAAATGTCAAAACTCTCTATCTTATTTTATTTTCAATTCCTATTTTTTTTATCACACTAACTCGTTACAAAAAATTAGACGTGTTGTTTCATCTATTTGTAAAATACAATTATATATTTACTTCAATAATAATTGTTTACAAGAAATAATTTAATAATTAATAACACAAAAATGAAAAAAAAATTAAAATAAAATCGGCAATAACAAGAACTATTTTTTTTTTTTGCAATTAACGACCTTAATTCTTTAGTAATAAATAGTTTTTATTATTTTTTTAAATTTCATTATCGATACAAAATTAATGACTATTACAGAAATAAAGAATTTTAAATATATGTATATTAAATTTTTTAAAAAATTTAAAAATATACATAAAAGAGTTTAAATTAAAGAAAAAAAGAAATTTTCAGTTAATGAATAGTCTCGCCTTTAACTCTCGCCATGAAATATTAAATTAAAAAAAAAGACTTGTATATTGAAATGTGTGTATATATTGTGGAAGGAAGTTCTTGTTTCTATGTGGCACAATTCCCGAAATAATTAAAACGAAGCACAAAAGAATGCAGATATTTGGCTGCTTATGGGACTAAATTGATGCAATTTAGTATACATTTTTCTTAGAACCAATTGAAATTTTTTTTCGTATGTATGTGTGTGTTATTTTTACAAATTCATGGAACATATAAAAAAAGCTTCACTGTTTCATACAATGATTTGATTATAAAATTCAATATTATAACTTACGCCAATGATTTTCGACAAATTTTTTATGATTCCAACTTAATCCACTGAATGATATTTTATAATTTAATTTTGATAAGTTATAGAAAATGTTGAACTTTTTATCACTGGCAGTTTATCTCTTGCAGTATATACATATATATAAGGCGGTCACCTTAAAAGAGGAAGATATAATTAAAAAGCTAAAGAAGGCTTGAAAAATGACTCTTAAAACAGGAGAGACCGCATAGTGCAATAAATGCTAAAATTCGAAACCACGATTTCAGCGAAGAAGGCGTCTGTCTACTCACAATGGGCATGATTTCACAGATTTTCGTCTACCTGACTCTTCAAGTCTTCACAGCTTATATAGAGACCAAGCATCAAACTCTGAAGCATTCCTCCTTAGAAACTGTTATTTAAATTATTATTATAAGGCCATAAATTCTAACATAATATTCAATATCCTCATCAATTTTAATTATTTATTTCTATGACCTTGCCTCTTGGAATTCTTTACGATGATATCATTCATTATCATCATCATCATCATCGACAATCGGTTTATATGTATTTTATTTTTTGCGACGATGTAAGGGTCACAACCTTGGATTTAACATGTCAGATTTTTTTTTTAATAGAACACCTTTAAATCAGTTTAAATCTTTAACATTTTAATTCATTAATAATTCACCACCACACTGACAATCCCGTGAAATAAATAAAGTAGAAAATTAAAATTACCACCAGTTTTACATTGGTGATTGGTAATGAAGGTTTCGCTAAAAGATTTTCAGCAATTATCTCGAGGAAGGATTCAAAAAAAAATGTAAGAAAAGTGATTTTGATACTATTTGTTTGAAATGCATGCATGAGTGTGCTTGCTGTTATGACATAGCAGAGCAAAGCAGTGTTGCACGGAAAGAGTGTGGCAAGGGAGGGAAGAATGTGAGAGAATTCATTCATAAATGCGTCAATGGATGCGACTGTGAGGGAGAGTGAGAGACGATTGCGACCACCCGTTTTGCTGTCCCGCGCGCATCTCTCGGAACAGCAGCAGCAATAATAGCAGATAGCTTTTACCCCCTCATTCTCTCTCTACTGTGTATAACTATTTCTCTTTTCCATTCTTCCATTCTCTTCCTTTTCTTACTATAAGTGTGTTGTAAAATGTATTAAGTACATTCTCTCTCTCTCTCTCTGACCTGAAGCAATTTCAATTCTATACAATAAGAATGAATCGACTCTCATCATTGTCAGAGCATATACCAAAGATTACCGAGATTCGAAAATTTACGCATTTTTCTAACTGTATATATAAATAAAAAGAAATTTTCGCATTTTTCAACAATTTTAAATTTGAGATGATAAAAAAACAATCCTTATAGGATTTATATTTATATAGGAACCCATGCATATATAACATCGTAAATCCATTAAAGGTGGGCGTATAAGGGACCAACACATATTTTCTGCAGGTTAGCTAACTTTTATTTTAATATATTACGTGATAACTCTCCGCAAAATGAACAGGAAATGAATTTTGATTTGAGAATATTATAAATTTTTTCAAACTGTAAGTAGCGATGAACAAAAAGTTTCTTGAATGAAATTATATAGTTATCTATTAATTATTGTATTAGTATATTAAATTGTAATCCTAAAATTACAACAAAAAAATTTTCATTTGAACTCTTTTTTTTATAAATTATGATAAAAGTGCGACCCTAATGTCAAATTGAAAATCAAATGTAAATATATTGTAAAATGTAAAATGTATGTATATATAATTATTGAAAAGATTAACTGACATGTGTCATAAAAGATTTTTACTCCTAGAGACAATATATACGTATAGCTGAATCAGTCGCGATACGCGTTATCATGTTCAGGTTCTTTACCGCTCAGTAAAAATGCAGGTTGTATGGTCTACAATCTTTTTTAATGAAACGATAGAGGCCTCAAGTTACTCGATAAAACATATAATATTCTCGGAACTAATATGTTGAATTGACATTTTCCATTACAAACGCTACTTCTTTGAAAAATTACCTATTTCATTGTATTCAATAAATCTCGCACTGTTTAAACAAATGCTTTTGATTAAAATCTCTGTTATAATTTTATATGCATATAATGAAAAATATTTTAAATTAATAATTGCTTATAACTGACATTATAATAACTTCAAAAAGGGACTCAAATTCAGTTATGAAGTAATTTTAAAAAAAAATTAATTATTAATTTTTAATAAAACATTAAAAGTGTTTTAATGGGTTAGTCCACTGACTTTCGTCTAATAGTGGTTGCGACCAAATTTTTAAAAAATCCAGTTTTAATATATGTGAAACTCGATGATTCCCTGAGTTCATTAACCATAATATTATGGTAAAAATTTTATTCCCTTTAAAAATATTAAATATCAAAAGTAGGAGGTTCACAATGTGATTTTGTAACCTTAAATTTTTCAATTTTTTTAAAAACGCTATTATTAAAAAACTATTAAAAATTAGATGTTGGAACTCAACAAAAACATAAATCACTTTATTCTGCACAGAGGAACGAAAGAATTATTGCAAAAATTTATTATTTTTGGATGATATACGATTTTAAAAAAAATTCTATTTAAATATTCTCAAGATTTTTATTTACTTATAACTTTTTTGTCGGTGCTCCGAAAAAATTGAGGTTTTGCACAAAGATTTTTTATAATATTCTTTACCTTCTATTAAAATCTTACGAAGGTGTTTTGCTTCGTTTTGGAGATATTAATTTTCAAAATTTTTTATTTAAAAAGGTTAATTAAAATACTTGAAGTTAACTGACCAATTTCAAATCGCTACATTTTAATATATTTTTATAAAAAATGGAGCAGTTTGAATTTGGTTAGTTAACATCAAGTCTTTTAATTAACCTTTTAAATAAAAAATTTTGGAAATTAATATCTCCAAAACGAAGCAAAACACCTTCGTAAGATTTTAATAGAAGGTAAAGAATATTATAAAAAATCTTTGTGCAAAACCTCAATTTTTTCGGAGCACCGACAAAAAAGTTATAAGTAAATAAAAATCTTCAGAATATTTAAAAAATATTTTTTTAAAATCGTATATCATCAAAAAATAATAAATTTTTGCAATAATTCTTTCGTTCCTCTGTGCAGAATAAAGTGATTTATGTTTTTGGTGAGTTCCAACATCTAATTTTTAATAGTTTTTTAATAATAGCGTTTTTAAAAAAATTGAAAAATTTAAGGTTACAAAATCACA